CATTGGGGACATTGGGGACATTGGGGGGATTGGGGATGTCGGGGACGTCGGGGACATTGGGGACATCGGGGACATTGGGGACATTGGGGACATTGGGGGGATTGGGGACATTGGGGACATCGGGGACATCGGGGACATTGGGAACATGAGGGACATTGGGGACATCAGGGACACAGCCAGGACACCACAGAGACATTGGGGACACAGCCAGGATGTGTGGGGACACTGCCAGGGACATCGGGGACACGGCCAGGACACCGCAGGGACATTGGGGACACGGCCAGGACACTGGGGAGACCTTGGGGACACGGCCAGGACGTGTCTGGACACGGCCAGGACACCACAGGGACACTGGGGACACGGCCAGGACGTGTGAGGGGACACCGCCAGGGACACGTGGGGACACGGCCAGGACAGGGGCGTCCCCGGCGCTGTCCCCGACGTCCCCGCGTGTCCCCAGGGTTCCTGAGCACGGGGGACCAGGCGGCCAAGGGCAACTACGGGCTGCTGGACCAGATCCAGGCGCTGCGGTGGCTGCACGAGAACGTGGGGCACTTTGGGGGCGACCCCCAGCGCATCACCATCTTCGGCTCCGGCGCCGGCGCCGCCTGCGTCAGCCTCCTCATCCTCTCCCACCACTCCGAAGGTACCCGCCAGCCCCCAGCCCGCCCCAAAATTCACCCCAGGGACCCAAATCCCACAGGAATGGCCCAGAATTCGCCTCGGGGTCCCCAAATCCGATGGAAGCTGCCCCAAAATTCATATCGGGGCCAAAACCCCGCGGGAACGGGCCCAGGATTGGTATCGGGGTCCCGGATGCACTGGGGACGGCCCCAGAATGGGTTTGGTTTCCTCTGGGGCACACCAGGGACCCCAAATCCTCCAGATCCTCCCCAGATTTTACCCATGGACCCCAGACCCTGGTGGGACCCCATCCCGATGTCCCCATGACCCCAGACCCTGGTGGGACCCCATCTCCACCTCCCCATGACCCCAGACCCTGGTGGGACCCCATCCCGATGTCCCCATGACCCCAGACCCTGCCCCACCCCGATGTCCCCGTGCCCCCGGGGCGGTGACACGGCCGTGTCCCCCAGGCCTGTTCCAGAAGGCCATCGCGCAGAGCGGCACGGCCATCGCCAGCTGGTCGGTCAACTACCAACCGCTCAAGTACACGCGGCTGCTGGCGGCCAAGGTGGGCTGCGAGCGCGCCGACACCGGCGCCGCCGTCGAGTGCCTGCGGCGCCAGCCCTTCCGCGCCCTGGTGGACCAGGACGTGCAGCCCGCCCGCTACCACGTGGCCTTCGGGCCGGTGGTGGACGGCGACGTGGTGCCGGACGACCCCGAGATCCTGATGCAGCAGGGGGAGTTCCTCAACTACGACATCCTCATCGGGGTCAACCAGGGCGAGGGGCTCAAGTTCGTGGAGGACTCGCTGGAGAGCGAGGACGGCATCTCGGCCTCCTACTTCGACTTCACCGTCTCCAACTTCGTGGACAACCTGTACGGCTACCCCGAGGGCAAGGACATCCTGCGCGAGACCATCAAGTTCATGTACACGGACTGGGCCGACCGCGACAACGGCGAGATGCGGCGCAAGACGCTGCTGGCCCTCTTCACCGACCACCAGTGGGTGGCCCCGGCGGTGGCCACGGCCAAGCTCCACGCCGAGTACCAGTCGCCCGTCTACTTCTACACCTTCTACCACCACTGCCAGACGGACGCGCGGCCCGAGTGGGCGGACGCGGCGCACGGCGACGAGATCCCCTACGTCTTCGGGGTGCCCATGGTGGGCGCCACCGACCTCTTCCCCTGCAACTTCTCCAAGAACGACGTCATGCTCAGCGCCGTCGTCATGACCTACTGGACCAACTTCGCCAAGACGGGGTGGGTGGGGGGCGGGGCTGGGGCTGGGGGGCGGGGCT